GATGAAACACTCATTTCTTTACTCTGAAGTTAGGGAGAGCTGTGTACCACAGTTTAGGACCGTGACCTATATGTAGACAGAAAGTTCAAAAGTCTTCTTTTCCCATTAAGAGTACCTGACAGGTACTCATTGGCAGAGTGCTTGCCCAGCATGTGAATGACCTAAGTTCAATACTCAGAATCACAGGAAAAAAAAAAAGTGGGGTGATGGTGGCATACACCTTTAATCTCAGCACTCAGGAGGCAGATGCAGGCAGATCTCTTTGAGTTCCAGGCCAGCCTGGTCTACAGAGAGAGTTTCAGGACAGGCTCCAAAGCTACAGAGAAACACTTTCTCCAAGGGGGGGGAGGCATCTGGCAAAGAAAAGACTTCGATGTCATTATATTGCCTTTTTATTATTAGAGCATGCATACAGAATTGGAGGGTACTTGTGATCTTTCAAGGCTGAGGGAGCACAACAATGGTATAGGAAATGACAGTTGCTTGCTAGCATCACTCATCCATTGCCAACAGCATACTGTTATGTCCAGTTTTTAATTGCATAACTAAATAAATTATTTGTTTTTAGTCAAATTAAAGTTCTCACTTATACAAGTTTGTACTCTTAGTTACACCCCATACCTTTCCATTATGGCAGAGGGAGATCTTAACCAACGTCTTGACTTTAATTGCCAATCACCATCCATATGGAGTTAGAAAACCCACATCTAGGGCCAGGCAGTGGTGCTGCATGCCTTAAATCCCAGCACTCAAGAGGTAGATACAGGTGGATCTCTGTGAGTTTGAAGCCAGGCAGGGCTACAGAGAGAAACCCTGTCTCAAAAACAAACACATCTTCATCCAAACCTCTCAGGTTAGGATCTACGAACCCACCTGCCTTCTAGAACCTCCACTTAGACTTCTATCTCCAAGAAATTTAAAATGTAAACATTTTCTTATGCTTTCCAGTTTGAAGTTACAAAGATTTTTTTTAAATATGGCAAACACTTTAAAGAATAAACATACAGTAGTTGTTTCTAGATAAAACACAAAATTAGTATTCTCTTTGTGATATTTACCTGTCTCAAACTTGATTCTAACCCTTTCTATATAAACTCTCATCTAGCAATGGAGGCAGAAATTCATTGTCTCATGAAGGCAGAGGAGTCTGAGTTGGAAAATATGATGGGACAATAAGTACTGCTGAAGATTCTTATTGGAATGTGAGGTCTGCTGAAGAGTCTGCCTGACATCAGGGCCCAGGGTCCTTTCTTATGGACTGTCATCTGTGTGGGAAGCTGCACATCAACACATGGCAGCTGAGATTTCTAGTTCCCTTTTGTGGGAAGGAGTGATGTCTGCTTCTTCTTGGACTCTGTTTCACCAATGACACATCTTTGAATATTTTCATTTAAAACTTAAAGATGTTGACTGATCTTCCAACGAATAGGGAACCAGTTTAGATCAAAAGGCCTGTTCAGGTTCAAACAGCGAGTGCTCACACAAGCAACCTGCTATTATTAAACCTGTAAGAAACTATGAAGAAACCTGTAGGAAATCTCTCTCTCTCTCTCTCTCTCTCTCTCTCTCTCTCTCTCTCTCTCTCTCTCTGTGTGTGTGTGTGTGTGTGTGTGTGTGTGTGTGTTTAGGACAGGAGGAGTAACTATGGTCTCTCAAGGCTTACCTTTATTCTTCATGGTGGTCAGGAGTCCAATAGTCCAAAGAAATGAATACTGTCCAGGCCAGGGGCACCAGAATGACGGCCCAGCAGTTGCCTTTGATTTTACTTCAAAGCTGGAGTGAGGCAAGGCGAGGAAACCACAGCTGCAATGTGAGCAGGTCCTTCTACGGCCATAGTCCAACAGGTGTTTCTGTTCCTAAGGCTTCGACCAGCCTACCTGCAGTTTCAGTGGAGCAGGCCCAGCCACAACTCTTCAAAGGGGTGAAGACTTTTCTTTGAATTTTGGAACTTATATTTCTTAGACTTGAGTAATACATAATTAAACCACATAATTAGAGTAACCCTTACAACTGGAAAAACTGGTTCATAATAAATCCATCTGATTCTTGGTACACACGCAGGCCAGCTAGTCAGACACACGGGTAAGCAACTGTCCCTCTGCAAGTGCTCGTGCTATGGGTGTCACCCATAGTTTACAAGGGAACAATAAATATGCATTGCCACGTTAAAGGAAAGGAGGGTGGAAATGTTTCTTCTCTGTATAGATGTCTGGAAGTTACGATTCATCTGTGTGTGGGAATTTGAGGAGGCCTCTCCATCCATGTGCATTTCCTTTTTTTTTTTTTTTTTTTTTTTTTTCTTTTTTTCTTTTTTGTCTCCCCTGTGGCTGCCATGTATTTAAAGGGATGCTCCTCTGTTGTCCACCACTACCTTTACATTTGTTTGTTTGTTACCTTTTTGTGGTGCTGGAGACTGAGCCCAGGGCCTCTCTCTTCTGCCAGACATGCTGAGCTGAGCTACAACATACACCACCACAGCCTGTGGAGGGCTGCAGGGAAAGTGAAGCTATGTGTGCTCTTCTGCCTGGTGCTGAGGCAGATAGGTTGAAACTTCCCTAGCAGTTTGGCTAATGGGATGTGGGTGGAACTGATGTAAGCGATTTTCATGTCTGATCCTTAAAAGCTGTACAGGCAACCTTCCAGCCTCATTTTTAGTATGACCTAGGAGGCTTCATAATCCAAGTGGTACAGTTGCAGGATGACAGATATTCATCTAAACAAGATCTGGTCCCCACACTGAGAATTGATTTTGCTTGTTTGTTTTCAAGATAGGGTTTCTCTATGTAGCCTTGGCTGCTCTGGAACTCACTCTGTAAACCAAGCTGGCCTTGAACTTAAAGAGCTCCTCCTGCCTCTGCCTTCCCAAGTGCTGGTATTAAGATTAAAGGCGTGCATCACCATTGATCAGAAAATTTTTGCAGCACTAACACAGTGAAATTTTGGGGGCTTGTCAGTCATGGCAGATTGTGTTTACCATAATGATTACACAGCTCACAGTAGCAACAGAAATGGATGAGATCAGTTGCCTATGGGAAAACTGGACATTTGTAGAACAATTTTGGAATAGAAAATATTCACAAACAAAGGAAATGTTCATGATACACTCTTCTGTAATATAGACAACAGCAATAAATATGCATATATGCATATTTTTCATTACTTATTGATTGGATCATATTTCAATAAATGTGCTATTAATTTTCCAAAATGTGATCATAAACTGTACAAAACTAATATGACTATATATAAAGTCACTAGGTGATAGAATTTTTTGCAATATTTATTTTTATAAATATGACAATTTGCCTTTATGAATGGTCTGGTACTATGTGTGTACAGTGTCCTTGGAGCCAGAAAGGAGTATTGGATCCCTTGGAACTGGAATTATACATTGTTGTGAGCTGCCATGTGGGTTCTGGGAACCAAATTTGGGTTGTGTACAAAAAACAGCAATTATTAACCACTGAGCCATTTCTTCAGCCCCTAGATGATCAAATCTTACAAAACAACTGTTGTACAAATGACCCACTGTTGGACATTGCATTATATGTATTCAAATATACCCAACTCAAGACAGAGAACATTTTCAGCAGTCAGGAAGAATCCATTATATATCTTTCCAGTCAGTACCTGCTTCCCCCCAGATAATCACTCTTCTGAGTTATGTCATGTTCAATTAATTCTGTATGTTTTTAACATTTGTGAGGGATTTGGATACTATTTACTCATTTTTGGAGGGTCTCTCTTATACACCACAGTGTATAAAATAATGTTGGTGCATGTGTCAATAGTCTGTCTCATTGTAATCTGTTGTGTGTTGTTACACTGTCTGAATTTACCAGTTAATGACTCATTTTCCTCTCAATAGACATGTAGGCCATTCAGTTTGTGGCTATTTTAAGATAAGCTGAAGAATAAGGCTATGAAAATTCGTGTATTTGTCTTTTTTGCCATTGTTGTTTTGTTTTGTAGGCAAGCTTTGTGAAGGAAATGCTTTCCTGGTTCATTTTCCTGCAGTCTGTTCTGGCATGCCTCTAACAAATATCAGAATCAGCTGGGCCAGTGACAGCCAGTGTGCACACTGTAGCATTTTCCACATGCCGTGCCCAGCTCAGTATTATTGCCCCTGTCCTGAAGGACACCAGTTCTGGCCAACGTGACATAGCATTCTATTTCAGATTTTCTCTAAGCAAGGCAGTTGGCAAGAATAACCAGTTTCGCTTTGCCCTAGCTGCTCATCTTCAGAGTCAGCTTGTACCCCAGCATGTACTATGTGCTTAGAGTTGTAGCTACAGCTGACAAAGACTTTTTCCATCCTCTTTGTGCTCACCATCTTTCTGCTTTAAGTGCAAGATGACTCCCAACTTAGGACAACAGCCAACATGGCCTGAGAGTGAAAAAGGCTTGCATATGCCTTATGTAGATATATGCCCTCAACTTTTGGGGTTTTTTGTTTGTTTGTTTTTTTTTTTTGTTTTGTTTGAGGAGGGGGTTGGTTTTTTGAGACAGAGTTTCTGTGTAACTTTAGAGGCTGTCCTAGAATTTACTTTGTAGACCAAGACTAGCCTTGAACTCACAGAGACCCACATGCCTCTGCCTCCCCAGTGCTGGGATTAAAAGTACACACCACCACCGACTGGCTAAGAAGGTGGCACAACCCCACCACCAGGGTGGGATTGGAAACAGAAGGGTAAAGTGGCTGAAATGTGGTACATGCTGTCAGAGAGTAGCATCATTTGATTGAAGCTAAGGAGAGAAACCTTTGTGCAATATTCCTTTAAACGGTGTGAAGACGTGTCCCTGTGATTGGTTTAATAAAGAGCTGAATGGTCACTTAACTAGCCAGGAAGAGGTTAGGCAGGACTTTTGGGGACAGAGAGGACTTGGAGAAGAAGAAAGGTAGAATCACAGCCAGACACAGAGGGAGCAAGACATGCAGAAGGAGAAGTAAAGCCACGAGCTATGTGGCAGCACGTAGATGAATATAAACGGGTTATTTTATACTCACCTGGCAGGGGAAATAACATGATTACGAAGGTGGCTTTCCCAGAGCGAGGCTAATCCATTGCACTCCAGGTGTGCTGATCCTTGCGATTTCACCAAATTCGGGAAACTGGACTGCATAATTTGTGGTAGTGGGGGATTGTATGTTCATCACATTCATGCCTAGTGCTAGCAAAGATCAGAAGAAGGCACCAGATCCCTTGAAACTGAGCACCAGATCCCTTGAAACTGAAGTTACCAATGGTTATAAGCCACCGTATGGGTGCAGGGAGCTGAACCTGGTTCCTTTGGAAAAGCAGCCAGTGTTCTTAAATACACTGCTGTACTGTCTCCCCAGCCTCTGAAGACCTTTTAAAATATTTTATTTATTCTTTGAGAATTTCATACTTAGGTCCAATATATTTTGACTGTATCCATTTCCCCACTCTGCTTGGACCTTTCCCAATTCCTTGCCTTCTTCTCCTCCTCTTTTTTTTTTTTTTTTTTTTTTTTTTTTTTTTTTTTTTTTCTGAGACAGGCTTTATCTGTGTAGCTTTGTAGACCAAAATGGCCTTGAAGTCACAGAGATCTGCCTGCCTCTACCTCCCGAGTGCTGGGATTAAAGGTCAATGCCATCACCGCCTGTCTTCTCCTCCTCCGTTTTTCAAGATAACAAACATATGGAGTCCAAATTCATTCTCAAGTGTGGGGCCATCCACTGGGGCATTGGCAATCTACAAGTGGCCATATCCCACAAAGAAAATGATTTTCCCTTTCTCAGCAGCCATTAACTGTCAGTAGTTCCTCTGCTAGAAATGGGGACCTGGGAGCCCCTCTTCCATCCATGCAGGAATTTTTACTGTCTTGATCTTGTGCAGGGTAACCATAGATGTTGTGAGTCTGAGTGCAACAACCATGTCATGTTCAGAAGTCAGTAGTTCACAAAACATCTCGAGGACTTTTTTCAAATCTTAAAAAAAAAAAAACTTTTAAAGATTGTATGGATGGTTGTTTTACACAGTGTGTGTCTGTGCACCTTGTGTATGCCTTGTACCTGTGGAAACCAGAAGAGGGCATCAGATACCCTGAAACTAGAGTTATAGATGTTTGTGAGCCACTATGTGGGTGCCAGGGACTGAACTCAGGTCCTCCACTCAGTGCCTTTGATAACTGAGACCTCTCTCTAGCCCCTCACTTTGCTGTGAGTTATCATGAGTGACTGTTGAATTTTTGTCAAATGATATTTTCAAAGCTGTTAAAATAATTATAAAACTTTTCAACATGAGACTACAGTGGCTTCAAGTGGACCATTCTTTTATGAAGTTAAGCATGTACTCTGTGATGAGCACATTTGGTAATAATACATTATCTTCCTTTATTTTTTTTTTTTTCTGAGACAGGGTTTCCCTGTGTAACAGTCTGAAACTCACTTTGTAGGCCAGGCTGGCTTTGAACTCACAGAAATTCATCTGCCTCTGCCTCCCAAATGCTGGGATTAAAGGTGTGCATCACTGCCTTCGAGCATACATTATCTATTTGTATATCCCTGTTTTCCATTTGCTAGAATCTTTTTTAAAGATTTTTTTTAAAAAAATTATGTGTATATGGTATCTGTGTAAGGGGTTGTACATGTTGATTTCGGGTGCCTGTGAAGTAAAAAACTAGATAACCCCCGGAGCTGAAATTATAGATTGTTGTGAATCATCTGACTTGGGTGATAGGAACTGAACTTTGATCTACACTAGGCTTAAACTTCCAAATTCTTTCTCTGTATTTAGTATTGCTTGTTTGGTGCCTTGTGACTGACTGTTATAGACTTTGATGTGGCAATGGACTGGCCAGATTCCTAGGCTCTTCTAGGAAGTGTTTACTCCAGACCATGAGCTCTCTCTCTCTCCAATCCTACCACTGAAAATCTTAGGATCTTAGGGATTTTTGTATCTTCATGAGGAGTGTTACTCTAAAATTTTCTTTTCAAGTCTTTGTTTTTTTTTTTTTCCGTTTTCTTTTTAGATATATTGGGGGGGGGCCACGGGTATGTGCTCAAGTACAGTCCAAAGGTCAATGCTCAGGTATCTTCTTCAGTCTCTCTCCATCTTATTTTTCTGAAAGGCTTTCTTACTGAGTTTGGAGCTCACTGATTGGAGGTTAAAGATGTACACTGGCCAGCTTCTCAGGGGTTACTAGGGACCCAAATTCAGGTCCTCGTGTTTGTTTGACCAAGCCATCACCTAAATCCTCTGAACAAGTTCATGTTTCACAAAGGCATCCTCGATTCAATTTGGCTATGCTGGAGTGCGCAGCCCATCAGGAGCCTGTTTGCTGAGATGCTTGCTGCCGGGGAACAGCTGGTTTCTGCTCTTCCCTCCCACCCCTGCCCCTACTTGCTCACTCATTTCCTTTTTTTCCCCAATATAAATATTTAATGAAAAAAATATTTAATGCTAAAGTTTTCTCTGAGAATACTGCTTTAATGGCATCCCAGAAATTTTAATAGTGTTTTATCTTTATTCAGTTAAAAATATTTTTCCTTTTCTTCCTTTACCCAGGTTTGTAAAAGTGTTGTTTATATTAGCTTCCAGTTATTTGTAAGGGACTTTTCAAATACTTTTCTGTTATCTAAGTTAATCTTTTTTATTTTTGCATGAATTCATTCTAGATTTATAAGCATTGGCTTTATGGGTAAGAGTATAATATATTTTGTAAATGTACAACGCTGCCTTGATGAGATGTGTTATTACTGGGCACAAGTCAGGTTGATTAATATTGCCAACTTCTCCTGGGTTTGTTTGTTTTTTGTTCTTGTTGTTTTTGTAGACAGGGTTTCTCTTTGTAGCCCTACCTGTCGGGTAACTCAATTTGTAGATGAAGCCAGCCTGGAACTCAGAGATCTGCATGCCTCTGCCTTCCCAAATGTTGAAATTAAAGGTATGTACCAGGCCAGGAGGCGGTGCCACAGGCATGCCTTTAATCCCAGCACTCAGGAGACAGAGGCAGGTGGATCTCTGTGAGTTCGGGGCCAGCCTGATCTACAGAGCTAATTCCAGGACAGCTAGGACCGATACACAGAGGAAACCCTGTCTCAAAAAGAAAACAAAAACAAAAAAAACACCATCTGGCCTGGTTATGTTTTTTTGTTTTTAAATATGGAACACTTCATGGATTTTTGTGTCATTCTTGCATAGGGGCCATGCTACTCTTCTCTGTATTGTTCCAATTTTAATATATGTGCTGCCAAATCAAGTACAACTTAAATTATTCTGTCAATTATCCATAGTAGAGCTAAAATCACTAACATCTATTTCTCATTTAAATTTTGTTGTTTAGCTAAGTGTGGGGGTACTTTCCTTTAATCTCAGCAACTGGGAGGCAGAGGAAGGCCCATCTTTGAGTTCAAGGCCAGTCTGATCTATATAGTAAGATCCTGCCTAAAATAATAACAATAATAAAGCCTGGAGAGACAGCTCGACAGTTAGGTCACTGCTGATATTGCAGTGGTACTGGCAGGTCACAGCCATCTGTCATTCTATCCCAGGGCATCTGAAACCCTCTTTTGATCTCTGTGGACACCAGGTACACACATGGTACACAGACACAAATTCAGGCAAGTCCTCAACACACATAAAAATAAATGACTAAATCTAAGAACTGAAGCATAAATGGAAACTTTGGACTTGAGAATTGAATGACACATAGATATAAATCTGATTGTGTGTCTCTTTGGGCTGGGAGTTCCCATGAAATAATAGGGTGGAGATAAAGAATAGAGAGTTGAACAGATACAGCTGGTGTTCAAAGAGAGATGGGGACAAAGATAGAAAACTGAGATATCAGCACACATGTGAAGTTGCATACGTAATTCCTTAGGAAAAGACTGTACAGGCAGAACATCTGGGCTAGATAATTGGCACTTGCCATGCCATTACAGGTAAGTAAGGAGATTTAAAAGTCATGAAACATTGTGTAATTTTGGAGGAATTAGAAGCAAGACATGAGCTAGAACTGGGGCCCACAGTGAGCCATTTGGAAGCAGGTTTTCCCTATATTCTGTGCAGACCCTACAGAGATAAACGAGTCACTACCTTCAGGCATGAAGGCCAGAATACAAGCAGCCCTCCAAGGATGGTGACCCACACCAGATTTTGCACAGAGGCATGAAGAGCTGTATTCTGAGAGGGAGGATGTGAACCATAGTCCTTCAGGCCAGTCAGTGATGGAGGAAACCATGAACTTCTGTCCTGCACTGCTTACTGCTTTGAGCATTTGGCAGATATAACCAGAATCCTTTGAGGAGGAAGTTAGTATCACTTCAAGCTTGATATCCTGAATTCAGGAAAAGAAATCATCAGAATCATCCAGAAAAACAAGTGTCAGGAGATTCCAGAAAATGGAATTACCAGACATAGACTTGGAAAAACAATAATGATTACTGTGTTTAGAGGACAAAAAAACAAACAAAATAAAACAACAACAATAACAAACCTGAAAACTTTATCAGGAAGCCATTAACGGTACTTTTAAAACAATGACACAGTATATTTGCCACACGAAAATTCTAGAAATCAAAAATTATAATACCACCAGGTGGTGGTGGTGTACTTCTTTATTCCCAGTACTCAGCAGGCAGAGGCAGGTGGATCTCTGAGTTCAAGGCCACCCTGGTCTACAGAGTTCCAGGACAGCCAGGGCTACAAAGAGAAACCCTGTCTTGAAGCAAAAAAAGTTAATATCAGTTCTTTAATGGCTTTAGTAGATTAATCCTCTACCAAGGAGAATGGAATGAAATTCCAAAATGAAACAATAAGTAATTTAAAAAATGAAAATAGCTGGGGAGATGGCTCAGTGGTTAAGAGCACTGACTGTTCCTCCAGAGGACTTGGGTTCAATTCCCAGCATCCACATGGCAGCTCATTACTGTCTATAACTCCAGTTCCTAGAGATTGGATACCCTCACACAGGCATACATGCAGGCAAAACATCAATGCACATAAAATTAAAAATTAAAAAATGAAAATAATTGGAGGCTATAGAGATGGCTCAGTGGTTAGGAGCACTGACTGCTTTTCCAGAGAACCCTGGTTCAATTCCCAGCACCCATATGGCCACTCACAACTATCTGTAACACCCTCACAGACATACATATAGGCAAAACACCAATGTAAATAAATGTAAAAATAATTTTTAAAATGAGAATAATTAATATATATTGACACATTAATTATTTATGACAATCATAAATTCTATTAATATATTGGTTGTTATAAATAAAGTTTTACTATATTAATGTTAGCATTTTAAGAAGTTATGTATATATGTATGGATGTATATATACATACACAACAGCCATAAAGAATGACACAATAAGGCACAGCAAGTTTCATTGAGGTTCTAGAGGAAAAGGGAGAACTGGTTTTAGAGAGATGATTGCTGACTCAAGATACTCTACAGAGCCAAGGAAGGATCAATAAGAATAAACACTCAAACCCATATTAAAATAAGACTTTAGTGAACCAAGACAGGCTCAGTGCAGCCATCAGAAAAGAAAACCAGTTCAATGCACTACCATTGAACTCACCACAGACCTCAAGGACAGACAACAACAGGCTTCAAGTAAAATAAAAGATCTATATTGCCACTAGATAACTACTTAAAGGATGCCCTGTAGGGTGTTCACCATGCAGAAAAGAAAATAATCTTGCATGAAAAAAAAATCAGGTGAGCCAGTGAGGTGGCTCAGAGTAAAGGTCCTTGCTATGCAAGTTTGGCAATCTGAGTTTAATCCCCAGAACACACATAAAGGTGGAAGAAGGGAACTGACTCCCACAATGTTTCTCTTGGTCCCCATGCCCAATGTGGCACAAGCACCAGCCTCCCATTTATGCACACACACAATAAACAATTTTATTTTTTGGGTATGGTGACACACACTTTTAATCCCAGCACTTTCAAGGCAGCGGCATGTGGATTTCTGTGAGTTTGAGACCAGCCTGGTCTACAGAGCTAGTTCCAGGACAGCCTCCAAAGCCACAGGGAAACCATGTCCCAAAAAACCAAGGGGAAAAAAAAAAAGAGGACAAGAGAGGGTTAGGATAATAAATAAGAATAGCTCTAAACCATAGATTATTGATTATAAAATCATATTGATTATGAAAATAGGGTTATGCAAAAATTATAGAACTACAGCAGATGGTAAGACTGAGTATGTTGGGGGTATATATGTGGTAAATACTGGTAAGCCATTTATAAAGCTTTGCCAAGGACACTAAAGGTAACAATATCAGGGTTACTATTTTCATCTTTTAAGTTTATTTTATGTGTAGGAGTGTTTGCCTGTGTGTATGTACATATACCACATGCATGCAGTGTCTAAGGATGTCAGAAGAGGGCCTCAGATGTGGGTGCTGGAAATCAAACCTGTGTCTTAACTGCTGAATCATCTTTCCAGCAACTTGTTATCAGATTTTGATTCCCCCACCCCACCCCAGAAAAGGCTTCTCCATGTAGTCCTGCCTGTCCTGGAACTCTCTTTGTAGACCAGCCTGGCTTCAAACTCAAGAGATTTACCTGCCTCTGCCCCTTGAGTACTGGGATTAAAGGAGTACACCACCAACCACCCAGCAGATTTTGTTTTTTATAAGAGTATGCTAATTTCTAAGGAAGTCACAAAACAAGTGAAAACAACCTCCCTCCCCTGAAGAAAAAAAACAAAAACAAAAAACAGTGTGACCACAATATATACCACCTCACCTCCCCACTTGGATGACCATTATCAAGAGACCAGCTGTGAACCCAGCTAGCTGGGAGACTAACACAAGACCATGGGAGCCCACAGGCTCAAGGCCAGATTAGAAAACACAGAGAGACTCTGTCTCAAAAAACAAACAAAAAAACGCCTCCCGGTGGTGGTGCATGCCTTTAGTCCTAGCAATAGGGAGGCAGAGGCAGGCAGATCTCTGAGTTTGAGGCCAGCCTGGTCTATAGAGTGAGTTCTAGGACAGGATCCAAAAGCTACACAGAGAAACCTTGTCTCAAAGAAAACAAAACAAAAACAACCAAAAACAAAAAGCATGCCAAAACAATAACAAGTGTTGGTGTGGAAGATACTGTAGCACTCTTAATATTGTTTGTTGGGAATGTAAAATCGTATAGCTATTGTGAAACACAGCTTGACACCTCCTCACAAAGCTAATCACAAAGTGACTATTTGGCCCAGCAAAACCCTCTCCTAGGTATATGCCCTAAAGGATCAAGAGCAAGGATTCAAACAGACACCTATACTTAACTAAATGCTTACAGCAACATCATTTGCAGTAGACAAAAGGTCTCTCAGCAGGTAATTGACTAAGTCATTTTAAAATTTTGAACTCTTCTGTGGTTCTGGGAATTTAAATATTTTTCTCATAATTTCTTCTTTCTTTTTCTTTTTATTTTTTTACATTTATTTATTTATTGGTTTTTCGAGACCAGGTTTCTCCGTATTGCTTTGGAGCCTGTCCTGAAACTAGCTCTGCAGACCAGGCTGGACTCTGCCTCTGCCTCATGAATACTGGGATTAAAGGAAGTCCTGTGCCACCAATGACCTGCCCCTGTTCTTTCTTTAAGATTAGATATTTTGCTTCTAGGCTGCGCCCTTACCTTTTTTATGTTGATTCTCTCTCTCTCTCTTTTCCCTTAGCATCTTGGAAGATTTTCTTTTTATCTTTTAGACTCTGTATTGAATTTTAATTTCTGAAATCGTAATTTCAATTCCTAAGCATTCTATGTTGATTTCTTCATGACCTTTTGTCCATCTTATAAGACTTCAATGTTGGGCCAAGAGATCACTCAACTACTAAGAACCCAGACTGCTCTCTAGAGGACCCAGGTTCAGTGTCCAGCACTGACATGGTAGCTCACAACTGGCTGTAACTCCAGTTCCAGAGAATCTACCACCCCTTTCTGGTCTCTGTGGCTGCTATACACATGTGGTACACAGACAGACACACAGGCAAAATATTAATACACATACTTTTTTTTAAGTTTCCAAAAAATTTAAAGACTGCTGCAGTTTTAAATGTCTGAGTATATTTGAGAATTTAAAATATTTTCCTATTTGTTGACTTACCTCCACCCTCTTAATCATCCAAAAATATTTACCTGTGTCTCTTTCATGTTATGCGCCTCACATAAAACTGGCATTTCTTAGCTGTCAATAAGTATTTATAAGTGTTGTAGTTTAAAAACCAAACATAAAGTCTGCACAAATGA